TGCAACTCAGGGATGAACTCAACAATGTTTATGCTGGATATTTACACCAGAACGATGAGAGGTTGGGCCGACAGGCCCGTGCTTTGGCTCCATATCTACCGAAAGCGTTGGCGAAGATTTATAAGGGTCTTGGAGATGATTGAGATTCGAGGATTCAGTTTCTTTTCAAGTCTATTTTCTTAGTAGTGATTATTTCATTTTATTTTATTATTATTTTTAGTTTTTTGTCTTTCTTTCCATTTTAGTTATTTTATTTCATTTAGAGTCTATCTAAGTCCTAGGTACATCTTTTTTTGTTGTTTTATTCAAATCCTTATTTTTAAAATATTTGAAAATGAATGAAAAAGATTTACTTTCGGTCACCTTATGTGCATATGTCATGCAAAAAAAATTATTATTAATATTTTTCTCGAACTACGCAAGATCTGATTCATGGGCCAAACATGATACGTAGGCAACCCAGGGGATTCGATCCAAATTATTATTATTATTATTATTATTATTATTATTATTATTTTCTTTTCTTTTTTCTTTCTTCTTTCTCTTAAAAAATGATAATCATAATGATAATAAATAAATAAACAAATAAGTAAATAAATAATAATAATAATAAAGTATTAAAAAAATAATGAAGATAAGAATGCCTATGTAAGCCGGGATGAAACATGAGGTCATCCATATTAGAAGTATGTATGTGGATACAATGTGCATAATTTCTTAACACTAATCGGTTTGTTACTCTATTCAGAGAGAGAGAGAGAGAGAGATAGAGAGACAAAGAGAGAGAGAGAGAGAGAGAGAGAAATAGAGAAAGAAAGAGAGAGAGACATACTAGCTTAAAGTTAGTTGGTTTGTGGTTAAACTGGCATCACATCCTTACAACACAAGATCGAAAGGAAAATAGAAAATGGCCCCTAAAGACGAAAATGAATCAGACAATGATGAGGAGATCCAAAACCAGATGACTTCACAAGAAATAGGGACAACAGAAGAGATAAGGGCGTTAAAACAACAAATGGCAGAGATGTACGAGGCTTGGATGAGTGGACAACCTCCACCGTATTCAATTAGAGACTATTTTAATACAAATATGTCTCACCCTATCCAGGTGTCGACAAGCTATCCGATATATCCCCCTGGATTCAGCCCCTACGCTAACACATCCAATGTTGCTGGAACTTCTATGGTTCGCCTTTCGAATACGCCTGTGATAAGTAATCCACTCTTTGTGTCAACTGCCCCGACTAACAGCATCCCGCAGCCAACGATGCTTCCCAAATCTAACAGCGATCCTCCGCCCAAAGTTCGGCATGATCAGAGTTACACTCTTGAAGAGGCCATTAAAATTCCAAGCTCTCATCCCCACATTCATCAATATAGTTCCCCTGTCGAAATTGAGAAGATGGTCAAGAATGAGGAACATGAAGAAATGACTAAGAAAATAAAGAGTTTGGAACAGAGTATAAGAGATATGCAAGGACTAGGAGGCCACAAAGGAATCTCGTTCAGTGACTTGTGTATGTTTCCTCATGTCCACTTGCCTGCTGGTTTTAAAACTCCAAAGTTTGAAAAATACGATGGTCACGGAGACCCCATAGCTCATCTAAAGAGATATTGCAACCAATTGAGGGGTGCAGAGGGAAAAGAAGAGTTACTTATGGCCTATTTTGGGGAAAGCTTAATAGGGATTGTATCTGAATGGTTCATAGATCAGGATATCACCAACTGGCACACATGGGATAATTTGGCTCGATGTTTTGTACAGTCCAATATAATATTGACATTGTTCCAGATCGCTCCTCGTTAGACAACATGAGCAAAAAGACCACGGAAAATTTTCGTGAATATGCTATCAGATGGAGGGAACAAGCTGCTAGGGTTAAACCACCGATGAAGGAGTCAGAGATGATTGACGTTTTTCTCCAGGCGTAAGAACCTGATTACTTTCACTATCTGCTTTCTGCCGTAGGGAAGACATTCGCTGAAAATATTAAGGTAGGGGAAATGGTGGAAAATGACATAAAGTCTGGAAAGATTGTAAGTCAAGCTGCCTTAAAATCCACAACACAAGTGCTTCAAAATGGTTCTGGAAATATTAGAGGGAAAAAGAGAAGGGAGGATGTGGCCGCTATTGTATTAGCGCCTAGGACTCATGTCCAAGGTAATTCCTCACAACACTATTTTCCTTCCCAAGCTCCACAATATTATGTCCCATACACTTCATATTATGTTTTTAATGAACAACCAATTGCACCCCCTTCTTATCCACAATGGCGTGCACCAACTCAACAAAATCATCCACCACCCCCCACAAGTTCATCAAAATACTGCTAGAATTCCTTTCAGTCCTAGACCACAATATAAAAAGAGAAATGGTGTTAAAGATGAGTTCACTCTTATTGGGGAGTCGTATGCTAGCTTGTTCTAAAAATTAAATACGTTGAATGTTTTGAGTCCTATTGAGAGAAAGATGTCGAATCCTCCCCCGAGAAATTTGGATTATTATCAACATTGCGCATATTGTTCTAATGTCCCAGGGCACAACATAGAGAGATGTCGGTATTTGAAAAGGGTCATTCAGGATTTGATCGATTCTAATCGAATTATAGTTGAAAGTCTGAGTGGACCCAACATCAATCTAAATCCATTGACGAGGCATACTGAAACAAACATGCTAGAAATGATGAAGGGTCATGAAGAGTTCGCATCTCCGTATAAGCCAATCCTTAGGGTTGGAACTATCATTGAGAAGTCAGCAAATGTTGTTGATTTAACAAAAATGATGCCTTTAGGGGCGGAAAGTGTGTTAGAAAATTTGAGTCCATCAAACACACCCATCTTAACTATGAAAGGAGCCCTTAAAGATGTTTGGGCAAGTCCGAGTAAGGCAAAATCGTGTGTTCTAAAAAGGCCAAACAAACCTATCTTGATCGTGCAAGGGGCCCATATTCCTCCTGTGATTATCAGGCCAGTATCCCAGCTCCCAATGACTAACCCCAAAGTTGTTCCCTGGAATTATGAACCTACTGTCGTGACATACAAGGGAAAAGAAGTTGATGAAGAAATAGATGAAGTGGGAGGAATAGCCCGTTCAGGAAGATGTTATGTCCCGATGGAATTAAGGAAAACTAAAAATGACCAAATACAAATAAAGATTCCGGTCACTGAAGGAGAGGCAGAAGAATTCCTAAGGAAGATGAAACTATCAGACTAATCCGTGGTGGAACAATTAAGAAAAACTCCAGCCCAAATATCTTTGTTGTCTTTGCTAATACATTCTGATGAACATCGTAAGGCAGTAATGAAAATTTTGAATGAAGCACATGTTCCTAGTAAAGTTACAGTGAGTCAGTTAGAGAAGATTGCTAGGAGAATATTTAAGGTAAACCGCATCACCTTTTCAGATGATGAACTACCCAAAGAAGGTACAGGACATAACCAAGGGCTACATATCACTGTAAAGTGTGAACTTTCATATGTCACTCGAGTTCTAATTGATGGAGGATCTAGAGAAAATATTTGTCATTTATCAACTCTACAGAAATTGATTGTTAGTGCTGAAAGGGTCCGACCCAACAATGTATGTGTTAGAGCTTTTGATGGGTCAAAAACAGATATTATTGGTGAGATAGAGCTCGTACTAACCATAGGGCCTGTGGATTTCGCTGTGAATTTTCAAGTGTTGGATATCAACGCGTCCTACAATCTATTGTTAGGGAGGCCATGGGTGCATAGGGCTGGAGTAGTCCCCTCAACGTTGCATCAAATGATTAAGTTTGAATACGACCGACAAGAGGTAATTGTTCATGGTGAGGGGGATTTGTCAATATAAAAAGACTTTTCCTTCCCTTTTATCAAGACGGATAATGAGAATGAGGCACTAGTTTATCAAGCTTCTGAGGTAGTGGTTATTGAGCATGTCCCCGAGGGGAGTGTCATTTCAAAACCAAATATGCCCATCGCGTCTGTAATGGTGATGAATGAATTGCTGAAACATGGGTTTGAGCCGGGTAAAGGCTTAGGAATCTGCTTGCAAGGAAGAGCTTATCCTGTGAGTCTATGAAAGAGCATCGGTACTTTTGGCTTAGGCAACCAACCTAGAGTCGAGGACAAAATGAAGGCAAAGAAGCAAAAGAGAGATGTATGGTTACTTACCAAGCCTATACAACCAATCTACAAATCCTTCATCAAAGCCCGCGCAACAGAATCTTATCAATCATCTTTTCCAGAGCCAGTGATGAAAGTTAGCGAAGAAATGATCAACTATTTTCAAGATTTATTTGTCGAGGTTGATATGGTGGAACTCGGAGAAGGCACTAGCGACAGAGATGTGCAATTCATTGGTCCTGATGTCAATCTAAACAATTGGGAGGCCACCCCTCTCCCCGTTAAAGACGAGTCTTGGTAGTCTGTCTTATTTTTTCTTTTGTCATCCGATTCATTCAAGGATTGTAATTTGGATTTTATCTTGTCGTTTTATTTCAAACATTCTATTTCCATTTTCAATAGGATGTAATTGCATCTTTATTTCGGTTTAATATATTTGTTCATTTTCTTTTATACAGTTCTTTCTATGCCGATTCTAGTGATATGACATGCATGCAAAATTTTTCGCCAGATCTTTATATCCAATCTAATCTTCGACCTAATATTGAAATAATAAGTCGAGAAATCGAATATGATGAAGACAGAGTATTTGAAGAAGTAAGGAGGGATTTCAATCATTTTGAAAATTAGTCAAATCCAAACATGAGTGAAATTGAGACGATAAATTTGGGGAAACAGGAAATTATTAAGGAGACTAAGATAAGTGTACATGTTTGACATAAAAATGACGATATAATCCAGGCCCTGTTTGATTACAAAGATGTTTTTGCATTATCTTATGATGACATGCCTGGATTAAGCACTGACATGGTTGTTCACAAGTTGCCAATTGATCCTAATTTTTCTCTGATAAAGCAGAAGTTGAGAAAACTGAAAACTGACATGAGTGTAATAATTAAAGAGTAGATCACAAAAAAACTTGAGGCCAAAGTCATTCAAGTCTCTCAATATCCTTCTTGGTTAGCCAATATCGTACCTGTCCCTAAGAAAAACGGCAAAGTTCGAATGTGTGTTGATTATCGTGATTTGAATAAGGCAAGTCCAAAAGATGATTTTCCTTTGCCTAATATCCATATTTTATTGGATAATTGTGCTAAACATGAGGTTGCATCTTTTGTGGATTGTTATGCCGACTACCATCAGATTATTATGGATGATGAAGAAGCAGAAATGACAACCATGTTTCACAATATGATGCATAGAGAAATCGAAGTTTATGTGGATGATGTTATCATTAAATCTAAAAAATAGTCAGATCATGTGAAAGACTTAAGGAGATTCTTCGAAAGGCTCCACAGGTATAATCTCAAGCTTAATCCTGCAAAATGTGTATTTGGAGTACCATCGGGGAAGCTTTTGGGATTTATAGTCAGTCGAAGAGGTATCGAGTTGGATCCTTCAAAAATAAAAGCAATTCAAGAATTGCCACCTCCAAAGAACAAAACTGAGGTTATGAGCCTTCTAGGAAGGCTAAACTACATCAGCATATTCATTGCTCAACTCACAACAAATTGTGAGCCTATCTTTAAGTTGTTGAAAAAGAATGCCACAGTCAAGTGGACCGAAGAATGTCGAGAAGCTTTTGAAAAAATTAAGAATTACTTATCAAATCCCCCTGTGTTGGTTCCTCCCAGGCCGGGAAGACCTTTGATATTGTATATATAAGTACTGGATAATTCTTTTGGTTGTGTACTGGGTCAGTATGACGACACTGGGAAGAAAGAGCGGTCCATTTATTACCTCAACAAGAAATTTACCATTTACGAAGCGAAGTACACCCTTCTTGAAAAAACGTGTTGTGCCCTAACTTGGGTAGCACAGAAGTTGAAACATTATCTTTCATCTTACACTACTTATCTCATCTCTCGTATGGATCCGTTGAAATATATTTTTCAAAAGCCCATGCCCACAGGCAAGCTTGCGAAATGGCAAATATTGCTCACAGAGTTTGACATTATCTATGTAACGCGGACCGCAATGAAAGCTCAAGCATTGTCAGATCATTTGGCAGAGAACCCTATTGATGAAGAATATGAACCACTTAAAACCTATTTTCCAGATTTAGAGATATCTTGTATCGATGAAGTTATTCACGATAACGATCAAGGTTGGAAGTTATTCTTTGATGGTGCCTCTAACAGGAAAGGAGTTGGAATAGGAGTTGTTCTTATGTCTGAATCAGGGGAATATTACCCTATATCAGCCCAACTTAGATTCTATTTTACTAATAATATGTCTGAGTACGAAGCGTGCATTTTGGGTCTGAGGTTAGCTGTTGACATGGGCATCCAAGAATTGTTAGTGTTAGAAGACTCAGACTTACTAGTTCATCAAATTCAAGGAGAATGGGAAACTCGAGACCCAAAGCTCATACCATATCAACATTGTTTACAAGGTCTTTGTGAACGATTCGTGTCGATAAATTTTAGACACATTCCCAGAATGCACAATGAGATTGCAAATGCATTGGCCACTTTATCTTCGATGCTCCAACACCCTGATGACGTCCATATCGACCCTTTATACATACAAATTTGTGATCAACATGCCTATTGCAACATGATTGAGGAGGAATTTGATGGTAAGCCTTGGTTTCATGATATCAAAACTTATCTTCAGCCTGGAGAATGTCCGTCAAATGTAACTAGTAATCAAAAAAGGACTATTCGACGACTAGCAAGGGGTTTTTTCTTAAGCGGAGGTATACTGTACAAGAAGACACCCGATTTAGGTCTTCTAAGGTGTGTAAATGCTCAAGAGGATTTCACAATCATGATTGAAGTACACTCAGGAGTTTGTGGACCTCATACAAATGGATATGTTCTAGCCAAGAAGATACTTCGAGCAGGATATTATTGGCTCACCATGGAGCGGAATTCCATATGATTTGTTCGTAAATGTCATGAATGTAAAATACATGGTTATTTAATACATTCTCCCCCTTCTAAGTTGCATGTAATGTCTGCTCTGTGGCCTTTCGTGGCATGGGGAATGGATGTTATTGGACCGATAGAACCAAAAGCATCGAGTGGTCACAGGTTCATCTTGGTGGCTATTGATTATTTTACAAAGTGGGTGGAAGCAGTAACTTTCAAGTCAGTGACCAAGAAGGTCGTGGTGGATTTCATCCATTTCAACATCATATGTCGGTTTGGTATTCCAAAGGTGATTATAACTGACAACGCCGAAAATCTCAACAGCCACTTAATGCAAGAGGTATGCCACCGATTTAAGATTGAGCATCGAAATTCGACTCCGTATCGCCCAAAGGCAAACGGGGCTGTAGAAGCTGCTAACAAAAATATAAAAAAGATACTTCGTAAGATGGTACAAAGTTCTCGACAATGGCATGAAAAGTTGCCTTTTGCTTTGTTGGGTTATCGCACTACAGTTCGTACATCAGTGGGCGCTACCCCATATTCACTCGTATACAGGACTGAGGCAGTTATACCTGCAGAGATTGAGATCCCATCTTTACGAATCATTGTGGAGGCTGAAATTGATGATGATGAATGGATCAAAACTCGGTTAGAGCAATTAAGTTTGATTGATGAGAAGCGTATGACATCAGTATGTCATGGACAATTATATCAGAAAAGAATGGCACGGGCATACAACAAAAAGGTCCGTCCCAGACATTTTGAAGAGGGTCAATTAGTGTTGAGACGCATTTTGCCATATCATGCTGAAACCAAAGGAAATTTTTCTCCAAATTGAAAAGGACCATTCGTTGTTAAAAGGGTATTACCCAATGGTGCTCTTTACTTAGCAGATATAGAAGGCAAAGTGACAGAAACGGTCATCAATGCTAATGTTGTGAAAAGATATTACATATGAATGAGTTTCAACATTAGAAACCCTTATGTTTGGGCTCGACATTTCAAAGGTTGATTCAACGGGATCTCTCGGTTATGCTGTTTCCTTGACGTTTCAAAAAAAACAAAAAACAAATTGCCTGAACTACGTTTGACTTGATTATTGTTTCGGCAAGATACGTAGGCAGCCCTAATATTGGGTTCGGTTCAACCAAATACAAATCCAAAAATTCATATTGTAGTATACTGGGGCAAAATTCGTTCGTTTATTCATTTGGTCTCTCATCTCAAAGCTCAAAATCAACCCCATCATCTAAAGTCAAAAAAAAAAGTCTTTTCATCAACCCTTGATATGTCGAGAGTAAGTCGGTTAAGGCTAGGTAAAAATCCTGAATGGGCGCCATTAGACAAATGTGAGTAAAAAGAAATAAAAATGAGAGAGTCTTATTGGTGAAAACCCTAAGTGGGCACCGTAAGGCGAAAAGGAGTTGAAGATCAAAGAGTCTTATTGGTGAAAAATATGACATGCACCATAAGGCAGACGTGAGCTGGAGCAATTAACATGATAGAGTTTTAGCGGCAAAGGTCTTCGTGAATATCACAAAGTCTATAAGGGTTCAAATTATTTATGGCTTCATTAAGTATTGGGATTCCACATCAAAATTGAATAATCAATAATGGTTAATGAATAGATTGGATAGCCAAGTCCGGAAATCAATTCAAATTGCATGGCATGATCAATAGACTCGGCTCCCACCCTCAGATAAGTTTTTCTTTCTTCTTCTTACAAAAAAAAAGTCTTCATCGAATCTTTTCTTTTATTCTCATATAGTTCGTAATTTTCTTATACTTTTTTTCATCACTTTTTTGGTATGTATTTGAGTCGAGTCTTTGTCAAAAAACTAGGAAGGAATTTCAAGACTCGCTACCAAGTCTCTAAACGGTACTAGGCAAAGCACCAGACTACTAAGTTAATCTGTCTTCAAGTGTTGAATTCGAAAATTCCCTTATCCTATGAAGGCTAAACAATGAGTGTTGTGATATAAAGACATCGAATTTAGGTCCCAAATAAGCAAATTTGGATGAAATTACTATCAATCAATAAGAAGTATTGATCGTTGGAAACAACCAAAGCGTCATACGTGTTTGAGCCGCCCTTGTCGAAAGATGGAACCACAAACCAACCACCACCTTTTCAAACTCACAAATTTTCTTTGTTGAAGCAGGGACACAAGTTGTTTCAAGATTAAGGATTCGAGGAACCTAGATGTTCAACTTAGTCTGCAGCGAGCGAAATGGAAACCCTACAATAAGGACTTATGGAATATTATATGAAAGTTGGCTAATATTTATCAAAATAGCAATTACTTGAATGTTGGAATATTTATTTTATTTATTATTATTATTATTATTATTTTTCTCCTTGAAGGAACTTCCAAATAATGAAGATAACATTCACAATGTTTTGTTGGTATTATTAGTTTGTTGAAAATTTTATTAGCAGGACCCTCCTGGATAGTGAGATTAACAGGACCCTCCTGGATAATGGGACTAGCAGGACCCTCCTGGATAATGGGATTGACCCTCCTGGGTAATGGGAATAGCAGGAACCTCCTGGATAATGGGATTAGCAGAACCCTCTTGGATAATTAGAGTAGCAGGACCCTCCTGGATAATGGGAATAGCAGGATCCTCCTGGATAATGGGACTAGTAGGACCCTCCTGAATAATGGGACTAGCAGGATCCTCCTGGATAATGGGATTAGAAGGACCCTCCTGGATAATGGGATTAGCAGGACCCTCCTGGATAATGGGACTAGCAGGGCCCTCCTGGATAATGGGACTAGCAGGACCCTCCTGGATAATAGGACATGCGAGACCCTCCTGGATAATGGGACTAGCAGGACCCTCCCTGATAATAGGATTAGCAGGACCCTCCTGGATAATGGGACTAGCAGGATCCTCCTGAATAATGGGATTAGATTACTTTCTCATAGGATTAACACTTCCTTGTCTAGATTTTTAGTTTTATTTTCACCTGAAATAAACACTTCCTAGCCGAAGTTTATGTTTTATATTTATATTTGCTAATAACTCACAAAAAATTTTCCCAGTGAAAACTGGGACAAAAAATTTTATTTTTTTGGTTTTGTGGTAGTTCTCAGGTTTTCTCAAGCGAGACCTGGATTTGAAATTCAAGAACAAAGTTCAAATTTTTTAGAATAATCAATTCCATGATGGTTAGAATTAGCTTCTTCAATGCATGCAACAGCCTAACTTCCACACATCTTTTACTAGTCAACTTTTGATCAAGAAAACACGCATTTATTCAAGAGCATTTTTCAAGTTGTCATTTTGAAGAATGTCAAAAGTTCCGTCTACGTGGCAAGTTCAGCCTCCATTCCAATTCTAAGTTAAGATATTCACTCAAAAATCAAGGTGATATCTTAAAGTCAAAATTCAAGTGAAGATTCAAGAAAAACTGTGTGGATTGAAGTTTGTACATTTGTTTTTCTTTTGACTAATAGTTTTCAATTTTTATGTAAGGATAAGAGTCGCGATCTCGAGCCTCGATGGAACCTCATTTAACTTCCAACTCATCACTTTATCTCCTCGAACTACAAGTGGCCTGATTCCCTTATCACCCGGGATATGTAGGATGTCCAAACAAGGACTCGATCGCACAAATTTTGGTCTTTCAAATAAGAGTTCGGTCAAAACTTGTCACTTTATCTACTTTTTTGTCTGAAAACTCTTCGTGTTTCCAGTCAAAGAGGGGCAAACTGTAGACACGTGATTTTTGACCGAATTTAAAGTTTAACACCAATTTTTAGAGCATAATAATTTTATCAATCTAAATTAAATATATTGACTTTTTATTATTTTCATTGAGTTTATTTAAAAGATATAAGAATAAACAACATAAATATAATTTTTTATAGATAAGTTTATTTTGATTGTTAAAAAAAAGATATATATATATATAACACTCCCCACTTACCCCCTTTATATATACTACACACACATTAAAAATAAAGGAGGACGGAAGAAACAAAAAAAGAGAGGACACGGAAAAAAAAAGAGAAGAGAGGAGAGATCAAGAAAAAGGAAGGCAACACACACGTAGAAAATATTATTCTCATCTTTTTACTTTTTTAAAAAAAATCACAAACAAAGGTTGAGTTTTGAGGTTCACTTTCGTGGTTTCAAGTTCGTGGTTCCTTGTTAGGATTATATCATTTCTTTGAATTTGATTTTCGCAAAAGGTATTATTCAATATTCATTTATAATATTATATTCATGATTATGTGGTATTTATTTTTCATGTTATGAATTTAATCAAGTTCTAGGTTGGTTCAACCTTTTTATTATAATATTGAAATACGGTAAATATGTGTATATTGTTAAAATTAAAACAAATTATGCATAGTATCGTATTTTAATCTTTATGGCTAGTATTTGGTGAAATCGTTCTTGCTCCTATTTAATCATAGTAATTAATATTTATTTTTAAAAAAACTTATTTTTATATATTTGTTAAATTGAAGCATGAGAAAAATTATTTAAATGATTGTATGTTCCATATAATCTGTAAAGTTAATTCCGATAGTACGCATCATATTTATTTATTTCCCCTTATAATTTTTAGTATGCATACTTTATTGTGAATATAAATTTAATTGTTTAAAACCTAATCTCTTTGTTTGTGCCTAAATATACTAGATCAGTAAAATAGTGTATGATAATATTGAATGAGAAAATTTGTGAGATAGAGTTTATTTGCAATTTATGTAATGCTAATGTTAATAATCATTTAAAGAAGACTATTGAATATTATATTGAAAAAATAATTATTGAATTGTTATAATATGCTTACTATTTTTTCTTTCAAATAATAAGAAATGAAAAATAAAACAAAAACGATGTAAAAATATATTGATGACCAAAAAAGAAAGATGGAAAAAATAAGAAAAGAAAAGAAAAGTAGTGAAGAAGGAACGTTCGAATTAGAAAAAGAATAATAAAATAAAAAATATATATATAATAAAAAGAATGTAAAAAATGTACACAAAAAAGTAAAAAAATAATAAATACTTTAAAAATGAAAAGATACAAAAAGTATAGTGTTAAAAATATATAAAATATTTTATTATTATCATTAAAAAAAAACTATTAAAAAGGGGAAGAAAAGAAAAAGAAGAAAATCAATGTAAAAAAAACATAAGGAAAGTTAAACAAGAAAAAAACGTGAAAGATTAGTATAAAAAGAAATAAAAGAGAGAAATTAAGAAGCAAGCAAATGTTGAAAGCATGAAAAATAAATAAACAATTAATAAAAATGTGTAAAAACTTCACATGTTTATAAAATAGTGCAGTTTTAAATATGTTAATATAAATCAAAGAATGAGGGTAAATACATTTGTCTTAATAATATAATATTCAAAAATTAGTTTAAGTCATAAAAGTCCATAAAGTGACCGTGCTAGAACCACGGGATTCGAGGGATGCCTAATACCTTCCCCTCGGTCAATAGAATTCCTTACCCGAACTCGTTCGCAGACCAAATAAAGAGTCATTTCCTTTTGATTAGAGATTAAACAAAAAAAAGGTGACTTGGAACACCGTAACTCAATTCCAAGTGGCGACTCTGAAAATATTAAAATAATCTCCTAATTAATAACGTCACTTAAATTGGAAAAACCCTTGCGCCGCTGCGCGAAAAAGGGGTGTGACAAATACATTATTTTTGGGATCCCAAAAAGGAATCAATGCCTCCACCACATCCCTTTAGGGTCAATCTCCATAAGATGCACTAAATGCCCCAAGTATTCCTTTACTCTTTTTTTCTCATGACTTCCATGTATGTCCACCATTGTCATAAATCTTTTGGTATAGTATCTATGAACATAAACTTTGGAATTCCTTCGCTTTTAGGCCTTTTTGAACCTTGACCTTTGGTCGATGGTGCCATTTGTACCTTTAAATAGAATTCAATAAAGGTTTTTATGACAAACTCTAATAGAGTGAAGAAAGAAACGTAAAAAAATAAAACACCATTTTTTACAAACACCAAACCCGAGAAGGGATGCCTACGTATCTCTTTTTTAGTGAGAATCAGGTGCGCGTAGTTCATGAAAGAAAAACTTCTCTTGGGAAGACTACCCCTTTTATTTTAATCTTTTTAAAAAAAAACATTAAACTCACAAATTTATTTTGAAGATGGTCAACAATTTTAAGGCCTTCTAAAGCAACTATTTTTACATAGCATATAAAATGAACATTTTGGTCTAGCATGGATACATATCTTAAATTTCGCTAGGTTAAATGTACATGATGAAAGAAAAAAATAGCATACAAGAGACATTTTATCTAGGTTTAACATTTATGAAGGTGTCTAGACCGGTAGCAGAGCGGCTTAACAGGTGGTCCAACCCCGCCTAACATGTGTACAACCTAGAATCAGGAGCGTAACCGCACACTAACTCATCCTAGACAGAAGTCCTGTAGAGCGTAACCGCACACACACTGTATAACAAAATTACAGAGACTCAGAGGGTGTGTGAGAGAAATACTTTATATACAATATAATATCAAAACAATGAATTGCTAAAATAACACAATCAGCATCCAATCATAAAATTTATCCAAATAAACAAAATAGCCAAAAAAAAAGTTAATGTACAAAGCTCGAATTCTAAAAGAATGGTGTCCCCAGCGGAGTCGCCAAATCTGTCACACCTCTTTTATTTTTTTTACAATGGTTGAGGATATGATGGATTTTTTAAAAAATACTTTTTTTAGAGTCGCCGCTCGGAATTGAGTTTTTTAGGTGTTCCAAGTCACCAGATAGTTCTTAGTTTAAAATTAAAAAAAAACTCTTCTTTTTTTTTTGTCTAAGAAAATAGAGATTGGTAAGGATTTCTATTGACCGAAGGAAAGGTATGAGGCACCCCCGAGTCCCGTGGTTCTAGCACGGTCGCTTTATTAATTTATATTTGGCTAAAATAATTTTGTTTTTTGAATAAAAGTGAAGAAATTGTATTAATTACTATTTTGATTGGCCTCAGAGCATAACCGCACAAGACCCTTTTTTTCTTAGAAAAAAATACACACCAAGGATTGTAACCAAACACATGATGGTATTTAAAGTTTTATTTTATTTTTAAAGAAAAAAATACAATAATTAATTACTCAATTTTTTAAAAAAAATGATAAAAATGCATGAAAGAAAATGGTGCAATATATAGACCAAGAAATGATTAGTATTTATTTATTTACTATTATTAAAAAATTTCTACCACTTATATTTATTGTTTTACCAAAAGAAAAAAAAACAAATAAGTGTTACTACTAGACAATGACAACAAAAGAAGAAATTATTTTTTTTACAAAATTACAATTAAACAATCTTTTAAACTAAAGATATACTAATTTTAATTTTATTTTTTTTATATTGATAAAAATTTAAGAAATGACCAATTTGGTAAAAAAAATTATAAAATGACTACCTTGATTTATTTGATAGAAGATTGCAAAATAGCAAATTTTCTACTTGTTAGATTATTAAGTCAAATTAGTCAAATTTGTACTTTTACTTTGATAGTCAATTCAAATATTTATTTAAGAGAATTTTATTTTTTATTTTTAATTTTTTTAATTTTTTTTAAAAAGATCACATATATATATATATATATTTATATTTTTTATTTTTTTTGCAAAAATAACCAGATTTACATTTTTCTTTTGTTGCAAAAATGACCAGATTAAACCCT